GATATAGATTGGGTGACGGTAGAATCGAACGATCCTGGCCGTTTTGTTGAGCTCACCGTTAGTGGAGATTCGAGTGTTAGTTTGAATGTTCCATACATATATAAGTAGTATTAAGGAAACGTTCATTCATCAGTGGATTGTTTCTCATTTTGTTTAGGTTCTTACTGATTTTATGTGGAAGAGGAAACGTCGTGGATCAAGGTTTCCTTTCGTTGATAATCCCGTAAGTATGCACAGGCTTAATTTTAAAGCTCCGATTTCTTAAATCGCGGAACCACTTTTATCCTGGATGCTTTGCGGCGTTTGTTTAAGTTCTAGTAGTTCTTATTGTTTGAAGTATGCTGTGATTGTTTCAATAATCTTCCCGGCTCCGAATGTAATTCTTCATACGCTCGCGATGAAATGATTCAGCAGCTTGGGTAGTATTTAGATTCTTGGCTGGGAAAACAACAAGCAAACTCGTGCATACTAATGCGTCTTGCCACGTGCGTTTCTTATTCGTGCTGTGCACACGTTCTCGCGTCTCCACGTTTTTTATGTCGCGTTTGTTTTTGTTTTTGTTTTTGTTTTTTGCGTGAGTTTGTGGTCACTTGTCCCTTGTCTGTGCTGTAAGATATGGTGCTGCTTCTGAGTTTGCTTTCGAAATAAGACATTTTTTTTACACCAAATGTACTTCGCTGCCAAATACATGATGGATGAAAGTGAATGTTAAACTTCTAACCAATAGATTTTTTGTGTCATCAAATAGAAATCAGCATTGCCCTCTGAAAGTCAATTGGAAGGAAGCGTCAGTACTAGGGAGAAACCCACGTGTAAGTACATAGTCCGTGATTTAATCAGCTTGGTCGTTCTTGTTATACGTAGACCTTGACAACACATAAGTAATGCACCTGATAAAACTAGGAAACTTTGAAGATTTAGTTAGTAATGATACCACCCCTAGCTGTAGCTATATGGTTTACGCAAAACAAAAGTGAGACGAAGTTGAACCCTCGAAGGATATTGTGAATTGAGTACTCTTTGTTAATATTTTCCCTCTCCAAGCGAACACGACGATACATGCTCATACAGTTATCGTGGGAGGCGAAGGCTCAGTGAATACAATCACTACTTCTCCAGGTTAGTTGATACAAGAAATAGCCAGCTAGGAACATGTCTGATATTATGGACGGCTCCTTCCCCTGCAGCGGAGGCGCGGTGGCCTCACGGCTACTGCGCTGGACTCGAGCGATTTGGTTCGAGTCCTGTTCAGGATCATTGCGATATGTTCTTGGGCAAGTCACTTTACTCTCAAAGTACCTCTCTCCATCAATTTGTATAAATAGATACTGGCGAATTCACTGCTGGGGGTAACCCTGCGATGGACTAGCACCCTGTCCAGGAGAGAGTAGAAATACCCCTAGTCCCTTCATGCTACAGAAACTGGGATAAACTTCGGCTTAATGGGCCATTGCCCTGAAGAAGACTTTTCTTTTAATCCCCCTGCTGATGAGATGCTAGTCCATCGCAGGTAATTTCCGCGCATTTTCGGAAAGTTTCCCAGGTAATTATACAACACTAAGATCCGATACCCATCCAGGCTTGATGCTGTTGATGTGGAGTCCAGCACACCGCTCCTGTTACTGCAGTATTTCCTCAGCATGTTTCTTCTTTTCTAGGAAATCCAGCATCAGGGACGAGACCCCCTCGGCATTTGGAAATGCCAATCCCGCCGTCTGGAAAGATTCCTGCTCACGATCCAAAGTCGCCAACACCACAAGAAGGATGTCCGCCTCGAAGCATGGAGGGAGGTGGTGGTAGTGCTGACACAAGGCCAGGTTTTGTGCCTGTGCAGGTGACGGGAAGGGAAGGTCATGGAGCTGATGCGGAATCTACCAAAGAAGCAAGAATGCCCACCCAGGTGACCCCAGAAGCGGAGAAATCGACTCTTGATTCGAGCAAGATTGAAAAGGCGAAAGAAATACCAGTTCAAGAAACAGAAAACCCCCAAAACAGCTTTACTGAGAAGACTGCTACGGACGAAGAATTTATAGCAGATGACAAGGAGGCAAGGCAACCCACCCAAGAGACCCCAGAAGCAGAGAAAACGTCTGTTGATGTCAGCAAGTTGGAACACATGAAAGAAAAGCCTGTGCAAGAATCTGAAAATCCAAAGAGCAGTATGTCTGGCACACTTGTCATGGAAGATGAATTTATGAAGGAAGCGCCAGTACAGGAAAGCGAAGAAGCGAAAGCGAAAAAGGACGAGCTGAAAGAAAACCCAGAAAGAAGTGTAAGGCACGTTTTTCAAGAAGGCGACTTAAAAGAACTTGCTAAGGACAGACAGGAATCAAAAGACCCAACTAATGAGGATTCAAAGGTCGAGATTGAAGACCAGAGAGATGGCAGAGGGGAGCAGCCTCTACAGGAAACACATGGGCCTGGCAAAGCACAGCGAACAGAGGCAGAGGATACAACACAAGTCAAGGAAGACGAGGAAGCTCGTGAAGAGCTTTCTGAAGGGACGCCACTTCAGGAAAGCGCCAGTTCTGACGTCCAAACCGAAACTTGTAAAGAGGAACCTTTGCCCACTCAAGAAACTATGCCCGCGGGTAAAGGTCCTTTTGAGGAGACTGGGCTCGAGGTAGGAGTCAAGGGTCAACCTTCAGTTTCTGAAGGGAAACCTCTTCAGGAACGCGACAGCTCTGATGTCCAAAACAAAAGTTGTGAAGAGGAAGCTAAGCCCACTCAAGAAACTATGCCCGCGGGTAAAGGTCCTTTTGAGGAGACTGGGCTGGAGATAGGAGTCAAGGGTCAGCCTTCAGTTTCTGAAGGGAAACCACTTCAGGAACGCGACAGCTCTGATGTCCAAAGGAAAAGTTGTAAAGAAGAAGCTTTACCCACGCAAGAAACTATGGCCGCGGGTAAAGGTCCTTTTGAAGAGACTGGGCTCGAGGTGGGCGTCAAGGGAAAACCAACAGACGAGCAAGAATAGTAAAATTACTGTATTTGAAAATCGTGACAAGAGTGTATTTTGTGCTTATGAAGCACAAGTAGAAGCTTGTGTAAGTTCTGTGTATAATTTCTGCCATTACTTTGTTTATTTTTTATGTCTTTTTACAATTATTGGCTGTTTAGTTGGTTGGAGTTTTAAATGGGGCAAACACGATCAATTTCTAATCAATTTCCAAAGGAATTCTCTTTTTAATGACATGAGTTAAATATCAACATTTAGGGAGTTGAACCACAATAAGAATGCAGGTTTTATTTAAATACAATTTTGCGACAATCATTTTTTGAGAAGGGACAATAAACAAAAGCTCGGAGGAAGACCGTTGAAGATAGACGAGGACAATAAGGACAATGGCAAACACAACTCATAAAAACTGTTAGTGAAGCAATGGATACCGGGGCAAATGAGATCAAGGAGAGCACATTTTCAGCGGGGGTCCCACGGTCCCATTGTATAACGTCCTATGTTGGATGTTGGAAAAAGAAATGCTGTCCTTGCCATCTTGACCAAAAAATCAAAGAATGATTGTCAAATTTGTTGTTATTGCTGTATATATTTGAACTACTTGAGATCGTGCTAAAAACAGGGTGCTTTCCATTCGACCATAATTTCCGGCTAAAATGTTTGGATGATGTTTCCGAATTTCCTAAAGAGATGATAGTGAATACCATAATTTTCGAAAATTTCCCAATGAAAGCTCCCTTTCCATTCGATTTTGATCACGGAATTTCCAGAAATTTCGGTCAAGACAGTGGCATTGCAGAACTTCAACAGCTTTCGGATTCTCTGAAACGTTCCTTGGAAGCTAAGACTTGGACGAATGTTGAAAATAGCGCTTCTCAAACTCACTAATAATTCATCAAGTTTAAAGAAAGGACATCATGACCGTGACGGTGTTTGGGTATCTGATCTTAATCAGTATAAAGTTTTACGATTTTCTTTCTCCGTTTTCTCCATAGTTTTAGTTTCGATTGAATTGATATATGAAATACTCGAGAGTTTGACCACGTTTGCAAACATCTCGAAGTTCATCAAAAATATTCAGCTCTGCGTCCTATTTTTAACTCTCTTCTCGGTGTTTGGAAATGTTTATTTCAAAAAGTTCAGTCTCCACTCACACTACCCTGCCACAGGCAGCAATTTATGGTGCCACACTACTCTGAACTGCTCGCAAGAACTGTAAGAAAGTAGGTAACTTGGCTACAATCTGCTCTGGTTCCCAGTTTTCTTCCTCAAGCATTCGGTCCCATTCTTTACAGTGAAGAAGAATATCCGTCTGGAAAGGAAAACAAAACAAGATGAACATCTATTTGACGGACTGCATCACTGACTGATTAACTGACTGACTAACTGGCTGGCTGGCTGGCTGACTGACTGACTGACTGACTGACTGGCTGACTCGCTGACGGACTAATTGACTGACTGACTGACTGACTGACTGACNCTTCCTCAAGCATTCGGTCCCATTCTTTACAGTGAAGAAGAATATCCGTCTGGAAAGGAAAACAAAACAAAAAGATGAACATCTATTTGACGGACTGCATCACTGACTGATTAACTGACTGACTGACTGACTAACTGGCTGGCTGACTGACTGACTGACTGACTGGCTGACTCGCTGACGGACTAATTGACTGACTGACTGACTGACTGACTGACTGGTTAGCTGGCTCGCTGGCTGACTCCCTATCTGACTGACTGACGGACGGATGGACCGACTGGCTGACTCACTGACAGCCCAATTGACCAACTTACTCTAGCCAAGTGACCGGACTGACTGAGTGAGCGAGCGGTGAGCCTCTTGTGTTCAGGTTTTGTTGGAATCAAGCTGACATACGCAGACTACCTGGAGTTCTTAGAAATCTCGCAAACAAGTTTCGCAAAATGAGGAAACGTCTTTCACATTTATAAGAAGATGCAAGTTCCACTGTAAATTTTGGAAATTAAAACAATACCTCTGTATCTATTTCGTCAAAATCACTCGCTTCAGTTTCGGCGGCATCCACGGTTTTCTCTTGATATTTGGAAATAAGCAAGGTAAACTTTTCGTCAACCATTTCATACTCATAAATCTTTCTTCGACTTCGTCGCTGATAAAACNCGCTTCAGTTTCGGCGGCATCCACGGTTTTCTCTTGATATTTGGAAATAAGCAAGGTAAACTTTTCGTCAACCATTTCATACTCATAAATCTTTCTTCGACTTCGTCGCTGATAAAACAGGTCAAACCCGTCTGGTCGCTCGGAAACTGGTGGCAGCATTAACTGACCTTCCTCGATCTTCATTCCCATGAGATAACTTTCTAAAATTTTATCTTCTTCTTCGGCTTGAGGCGTCCTGGGAACGAGGCCAATCTCTGAGTCTGAATAAAGAACAAGAGTTGAAGGGACAGTATCATGAGCTGCGCATGTCTAAAATTGCTTTTTCATATCGGCTAAAATATTTGTTTTTAGGGGGGATTTTTAACGTAATGTGTTATTTTGCAGCTAAGGAAAAGCAGATTTGTCAAAACTTAGTTATTTTGAGGTCTGTTGGAGTTTTATTTAATAATAACTCTTGCCGTGTTTTCGGCCTGTCGGGTCGCAGCGTGATCAAGACCAGTTCATAAATTCACCAGTGCTATGTTATAGAGACTTGTTTTCTACAGCATATCTGCACAGAATCTACGTTCAATACGTCAGTAGAAAGCTAAGTGAATGTAGATTCTTCAGAAAATTATAATTTAGTGGTCAACATGCACTAAGTAGCTCAACTGGCCGAGGTACATTCACTGCCTAGTCTCCACTTGTCGACGCCATTTTGAATTTCGCACATAAGATTAAAATCGTCGTCGGACGTTTTAAAACTCTGGATCAATCTTGTTCCCAGAGTCTTCGTTCCCCTTGACTAGCGGTCGGAAAACGAGCTCTGGGAGCAACCATTTTGAAATAACCGAATTCTGCCCATCCGGTTTCACTGCGCGGTCTGCATCTATTCGCGCCGGCCATGCGCGCCTGAAATGGTTGCTCTCAGAGCTCTTCGTTCTCCGACCGCTGGTCAAGGGGAACGAAGACTCTGGGAACGAGATTGACTCTGGATAGAAAGCTCGGACATGCGCAACTCATGATACTGTCCCTTTAACTCCGACTCGTCTCCAGTCGCCTTTTATTAGTCCATTTACGAGAGAAACGCTAGAGAGATGCGGGACGAGTCAGACTAGCACGGCACGAAGAGAAGGCGTTAATATTAAAAAAGAAATATAGCGGACGATCGGGAACAAGTCAGTAAAAGTGGAAACGTGCTTTAAATGTTTGGCCTCATATATGAGTCGTCTGTCTCATTTACCAAGAAGTCACGACTTCAATAGAGCCGCCTCCATGATTGAAAGTGTAGTGTTTACTTTTTCAGTCGTAGTCGTAAACGTTACAGTGTTGAACCAGGATATTGTGTCTGGAAATTTTATTACAGGAACTGTTGAACATGATGTACTCAAGTGTTGCTACTGGAAGTGGAATGATGTTTGTGATTTAAGTTTAGTCGGTGATAGCGCATTCCGTAACACAGAAACGAAATGGCATAAACTAATTACAAAGCAAATAACGTAATGTGTTAATTTCTTACATGTTTTTACGAACAGTCGGTAATCACACTCCTTGGAGGGCATTACAATGTCCGCCTTCAGTCTCTGCTGTGTTTGAGAGCACAGGTAAAAACATGGCGTGTGTGATGAATCACCCTGCTCATCCGGCAACGCGTGACTCGTGACATTCATAACACTGAAGGGTGCACTGCGAGAGAACGCCATTGAAATTGCTCCGTCACCTTCCTGTTCGCCACCATCTTTCTCGGTAAGCCATACCTGTTAAAAGAGAGGAGAACTAAGTGCGCTAAGGTAACCTGCGATCAGCAGTTCTTATTTTGCATCGCCACGAACAATAAGAAGGCCTGAGCGCGTGTTACTCCTTGGGTGGTACTGCATACTGTACATTTAAACCATGCCATAGAAAATACAGCCAATCAGAGTACAGGAAAGCCGTTTTATATTCGATGGTATTACACCCAACCTCATCGCGCGCCATGCATATGCCGCATTGATTGAGTTGGCCACTGTATTTTCTATGGCATGGTATGAGATAGTTATGTAACGCTCTCTCGTGCTATACCATGAAATATACCACGAGTCACTATACCAAGTATTTTCTTGGTATACACACTTGCCTAAAGGCTTGTGCGTATACCAAGAAAATACTTGGTATAGTGACTCGTGGGATATTCCACAGTATAACACGAGAGCGTGTTGCATAACTAGTACATGATGTATCTGATGAACCACAAAGTAGCACACAGAACGGTATTCAAAAACACAAAATAACGTTGTTACCGTGGTAATAACCTCAGATTCCAGGGTCCTTTCCTACATGAGTAAAGCGGGAGCTCCATATGTTTGCTCTTTACCAAACACTAAGCTGCTTTGTCACCCAACTTGTTCACACAATATTTAGATTATTGTAGAAAGTCGATTTCTGGGTGCCGATCTGGGTCCATATAGGCTGTGTTCACATTTGCTGTCCAAGTGCTTTATATCAGTATCCAGTAACAAACACGTTGGCAGCATTAATGTAGTCCCCCTCCCTCCCTCCCTCCTGCTTCTGAAAGGTTGTCCAATACACCCGAAGGATTCCTTTCCCCTATGTTTTAACTTGGGTCTCCAGTTGACCTGCACCTCTTTAAAACCTCTATTATAATCCGTTATTGTTAATCTGCACCTCTTTTGTTCTCAGGGTTGGGGGATTGTTTGTGGTGTTTACCTTTTGTTCCATTTGGTCAAATTTACTAAAAGAACCTTGCAAGCAGTGCAAGCCCGGCCCCCGGCTGGGCCTCAACAGCTGGGTACAAACGTTGTAATATAATAGCCCAATTTACCCCAATACATTCTGACGAATTATTTCTCCTCAGTTAACAAATAAGATGAAATTAAAAAAACTTACCTTGACACGAACATATCGACAAGTAGGAGTGTAGAAGGTAAAGTCGTATCTTAGTTCTTCTTTAGCTGCACGGGATTCCAGACTCTCTTCAATGTGTTCAACTTCTATTTTTTCTAATCCCCCTTTGAATTTTGACTTCCAACCAAGCTTTCCGTCCTCAAGGTTTTTTTTAACTTCCGCAAGAGTAAAATATTCCTCGTCTTGTTCGTCTGAAAAGCAATAAAAAACTGAACTGTTCTACCTGGACTACCTCGTCGAGCCTTCCACAACTCCACGAGCGCCGAGTACGACTAAGAGGGAAGCCTGGAGGAGAAGCAGCCGCATGGACATTCAAATGAACACGTGGTTCATGGCCATAGCCACCATAAAAGGCAAACTATTTTTTTTCGGTAGTGTTGAGGACAGCATTGCAGAGGGATGCAATCGCTGTTCTTTTCGTTTCACTATACAGATGATCTCTCGAGTTATAATTCCGTCTCAATACGTACGACAAAGTGATGTCTACAACGGCTACAATTGAAAGAAAAGAACGAGTCGTTCACTCACCTTCATCGACCTTAGTTACGTAGACGTGGCCGAAGTGACACCATATGTCTACAATGACCCTCTCCTCTTCCTTTTCTTCGTGAATTTTATCTAGCACCGTGAGGAGTTTATCTTTCAATTTTTCTATGCCAGTGAAGCCAAGGGGAGAATCCTGTTCAAGAAAAAAAAAATCATTAGCATGCGTGTGAGAGTGTCAAAACGACTTAATTCGAGCCCTGGCCGCGGGGACATTGTGTTGTGTTCTTGAGCAAGACACTTTACTCTCACAGTGTCTCTCTGCTCCCAGGTGTGTATATAGGTATCGATGAATAGACTAGCATCCTTCATCCCATCCAAGGAGATGCGATATAAATAACCTCAAATATTGCTAGTCTCTTCATGCTACAGAAACCTAACACAAGATAAGGGCGGACTGAAGAGCCACGAGCAGGAGATGGTACTCGAATGCAGATTTCCTGACCATTTCATCTACGTTTTTTGACTCAAATTACCTCCATATCTCGCGAAGGTTGCTCCAGTGGTTTCACTTCATAGATAGTTTCGCCAGAGTTGCCGGCATCTGGAAGTTGTACCCTGGACAGCTTTAATTCGAGGTTCAGGTCTAATTGGGTCGTATCCACCTGAACCAGCCAATGTATGCGTTTACTTGAGTGTCTCATCAAATTGCACTTAAGGAAGAAAAGACATTTAGCTATCATCAATTAAACTGTGACAAGTGTGTGACAGGACCCAATGCGTAAAAGTAGTACGGACCAGCGACCGGTCGTTGAAACGTTCCTATTACTTCGCATATAGAGCGTTTTCACGTGACGTCACGGCAGCCATATTGGTATCGTGGAACATGTTGATGTCCAAACCAATCCCGTCAGAGTTGAACTCTTTTCTTCGGTAAACACTTTCTTTTGTTCCAATAAGTTTACATTCCTGCTGGACACGTGAGTGACGTTCTATTCGATTCTAGCTCGGGTGAGGTCAAGAATGTTTTTTTGAAGTGGCGAATTTTACATGTCACTTTTTTTCAAAACAGTAACGATGGCAGGACTTACCACGATTTCTTTTATTTTTCGAATAGCTCTCTTTTGACTTTCAATAGGTCCCTTGATATAGAGCACGTCATCCTGATTGCTTTTAGAGCCGGCTTTCAATTTTGCCCCTGTATTTTGTTCTATGTCGTTCAGTTGCTCGTGGTTTCTTCCAATGACTACACCCATGTAATTCTTGGATATAAAGTCGAGCTTTTTCCAAGAGCCTAGATGAGGGCTGTTTTCTCCCTGAACAAATATCAACAACAACAGAAAACCAGGAACATGTAAATGAAAGTCAGGAAAGACGGAATCAGGGAGAGGAAGGGAGAGAGGTAGAAAGGTGGGAGGGAGGACTAGGGATGGAGGAAGGAAGAAGAAGGGAGGGTGTGAAAGGAGAGAAAGGGGCGGGGGTGGGATTGGAGGTACAAAAGGAATGGCTGTATGGGATGTAAAAATTAACGAAATTTATTACAAAAGCAAGGACATTTGGAAAGTACGGTTAAACCCTGCTATTTCGAACTTTCAAGGGAAACGAAAATAGTTAACAATTATTCCACGAGCGCGCGTTGGATATGAGATGATCGATATGCCCAATGCAACGAGTTGGCTATAATGATCTAATATATAAAAAGCGCGAGTGGAATGATTGTTTTGTTAAAAACGCCCCCAAACTATAGAAAATCAAAATTAAATGAAAACAAACGTCCGCAAAAATTACGCGTACGCTTACCATATTTGTAGAGCATGGTTTAATTGCTCATAACCCATGATGGCTAAGCCAATGAAAACTCTATCTTGAATTGCATTATCCAATGATCCAGTTCTTAACAATTCAAAGTAGTCGATAGTAATTAAATAACCGAAGGGCAATTTCAAGGGTAATATGGTTTTGTGTTCGAAATAACGAGGAATTTGGAAGTAACCGAGTTCGAATTAGCGGGCTCCAACTGTACCTTTAAAATCCTGTCTATAATCTTTTTTGCGTTGGAGCACTGTTCTTCTGTTCCTCTTAAATGGACTTGGTCTTCTCTGATGATCAACTCTTTAACTCCACTTTCTTTCATTATTTCTTCCTTTCTTCGTCCCCTTGTTCCTATAATAAGTCCTATCTTGTCCTTTGGGATCTGCATTACCTCTTCTTGGCAATCTGTATTAACAGCCCTGTCATACCAGCTCAGTTCACCTTGGTTTCGTCTTCTTCTTCGTGGGTTACCTTGGGTTCTTTGGCTCTTTGGGTCTGTGCCTTGTTCTGAATCACGCGACATGGCAGCTACTGAAAATAGACAGTTCAGAAAAACCGGGCGCACTGACTTACTGGACACTTTCACGATTCACCACGTGGTTAAGCCCACCTTTCTTAGAGTTACAACAACAGCATGGGAGGAGTTGACCTTCACGATCAGTTGCGTGGTTATTACGCTGTTGGAAGTAAGTCTAGGAAATGGTGGCGCTATCTTTTCTGGTTTTGTGTTGATCTAACCTTAAGTTTGGACTGAAAGCAGTGTTTATAAGTATAGGTTAAATTCTCCCAAAACGCACGGGGTATTTGCAGATATAAAGAGATTTCCATTTGACCTTGAAACGGTTACGCCCAAACATGACTTAATTTAATCCCAAATTAAACGAACGAACGGCTGGTCTAGTGAAAGCAAAGACGCAAATGTTAACGAGCTGACGACGGTGAAACCAAAGGCGACCCCTGGAAAAACCCACCCCGTGGGGGGACGGGTGGGGATGCTCTTCGGGAAATTTGAATTGAATCCCTAAAGAAGACCAACCTGAGCGTGGTTCAAGTTTTATTTGACCCCGAAAGAAATCAAAACAGACAGCGTGTACTATTATTTCTTCAAGTGCTATCCTAAAAGATACCTCAACCGTTAAAAACAGTGGCTTTTCTTTCTGAACACTCGAAGTGGGACCAAAATCCGTGATTTACACCCCTAAGGGAGACGATCAGCATCCCCGACCTTTTCACGTGGGAATTTCTTCGCACCCTCCCCCCCTCCCCGGGGGTAGCATGAATTTCGATTTAGTAACTTCGAATTTTGTAATTATCTAGATTTGTTCAGTTATCAGCTTATGTGCGACTACAGGTCTACTGAAAAGCTTGCTCACGCTAAGTATGTAGTGACCACGTTCAGTTTGAAATAGAAGAACGAGAAACTCAGAAGTCGTGTTTCACCTGCGTCTCCAAAATACGCAGGATATAGTCATTTACAGAGAAAGGCTCAAGATGCACGTTTAACGCGCGTACAAAGCTGTTGTTCACTTAACCTTTTGTCTGGCGACGTATATTTCTTACCCCACTCCTCCCCCCTCTTCCCAATTGACAGTGATGTAGACGGAAATCAGGATCTATAAATCTCAGGATAGCGTTAAGCGGCGTTCAAAACAAACAAAACAACATCTTCTATTTAAACACGGTGGGTTTTGTAGCTTATGGGGCCGTGTAAAAAATGTTAATGGGATAAAAAAGAAACTGAAAAATGCAATATATATATATATGTGAATAAAATTGATAAAAGACGAAATAACTGTCAATTTGGGGACCCATTTGCGGTGACTCTTCTCTGAAGTTCAAGTTTCTGATGGTGGGAGACTTTTTTGCCCTTTTAGCATAATCTCTGGCGATGACAACGGATGGTTCTAAAAGACTCCAAACAATGGATCCACTGAATGATACAAAGTTTTTCATATAATAAGTTTCAAAACGTTGTACGCTGACACGATGTTGATGACGGAGGTCATACGTAGAATGTTTCCTTTGGATTAATTGTTGAGACAACCAGCGACGACACGAGGCAAGCTTGCTGCAGGTCTGAGTTTGCTTAGAAATATAAAAGTTGTTTGTAGCCCAGGGGTCCTTCGCCGGTTTGATGAGACCCTTTTCATAAATGGCGTCCAATTTAAAATTATTTTGTATGCATCTAAATTAACCTCACTAAACTCGTTTGGGAGTAAAAATTCTTTTGAATTATCAACGTACTCAAAAGCGAGGTTAGTCAGGCTAATTTTAATACTTACTAAAGAATTTATAATTGGCAGCCATTTATGAAAAGGGTCTATGAGCTTCTTTTGTTATCGAATTGACTTCATTAATCATTCATAGCCAACAATTGCTTCAAGTTTTACGATATATTAGCTGGTAGTTTTGTGTGCGCACAGGATTAAAATACGGGGGTAGAAAAGCAAGAGGAACAAACCCGTGATAAACGAATTCGTATCCCGCGGAACATAAAAAGCTCCAATGATGTAAAGTTATGAATTTACGTATAATCGAGTATAAGATTTACGAACTGGCCTCTCAGCTCTCGTTCGGGTCTGTAAATCTGATACAATAGAACTGTAATATGGATACTCAATCGGTCATAAGCTACACACAAAAAAAATTAACGATCTCTCGTCTCTTTTTGAAGATTATAATTTGAATGCCAGATATGTCGCCATGTTGCGTTGTCTAATCTAACTTCGATTTGGTCACGCAATATGAGGCGCAAGTCGGGGCGTTTTTCGCTTTTTCGCTACTAGTCAGGAAATTTAAAGTTATCTCATTTACACTGTAAATTGCACTCTGTGCTGTACTTCCATAAATCTCCTAGCGCTACGTCCTACATTTGGAAATATGGGAAGACAATGTCATCGAGAAGCACATAATTAAAACCGGAGCAAATTAAGCTCTCGTACCTCAGTCAGGCTCCAAAACAAAGCAAACTCTCTTCGTGGACGAGATCAGATTACACAGGGCGGTCTCTTTCTTATGAGTTCAGCGTGTTAACGTGTTTTGACACTCTGTTTCAGTTAAACTCGGCACAGTTGTAGAGAATAGGAAACTCTTTCCGCTGCAGTTTTGACAATTCCGCGAAACTGACCTCTTTACATCAGTCTTTCTCGGAAAATCTGAGCACAAGCACCTAACCGGGGGAGAGAAAAATGTCTGCTGTAAGCGACCTTTTCTCTATTTGTTTTTCTTTTTAACTGTGTCGGCCTACACTTGACGGAAAAACCTGAAAGAACAACCCTACTTAGGAAGCGACGATTTGACAGTCGTCGGGAATTTAGTACGACCTGGAGCAATAAAGGTATGGCCTGCTCTGTTACACGATACCTTTCATCTGATCTCCTGTGTACCGTGCCAGTACATTCCAAATGTCTGTAGTCCTCTGTCTCAATAGCTAAATAAAAGTAGTAATATAAAAGTAAGCAAGTTTTTAAAACATTTGCACCGCAACATTGACCGTACTTCCGCGTTTTGTACCTCGTTACCAGTCTACTCACGAGAGCTCTGAAGGTCTTCCCAGACTCCTTTGCCTTCTTCGATATTACAAATGAGAACATGCGGCGAATTTTGGGGTTTTTCGAGCTCGATTTTCTTTGAAATGAAGCGCTTATTTGAGGTACGTAAACTTGATATTACATCTTTATTGTGTTGTCTTTTATTGGTAGAGTATTTTGTGGGAATTAATTTTTCAATATATCTATTTTATGAAGTTTTAAAATCGGTGTTTCAGATCTTTTGTACAGCTTTGATTCGGTGCATAAATTCATCCGTAGTTGCAATCCTCCGTTGGAAAAACGATGGCGACTGGTATATTTGCCCATAGTTCTTAGCGCACGAAAACCTTAACAACGTTCATAAAAACGTAGAGAAGAGTTTTAAAATCTTCAAACCTGGGCTACACAATGTCCTTAGTACAGGAACAAATATTACAAAAATTGGGCTTTCTTTGTGCCTTATAGGCTGTTTAACGTTCGCAAGGTATTGTGGTAAAATGTACAGCCGCCATCTATTTCCCTATGGTGGATTCTGCTGGAGTAATGAAACAATACAGTTTATGTTTGCGGGCATAAATATGTTTTGGGCCCGACTCGGACTCATTTTAGCCCAAGCTTTTAGGAAAGGGCTAAAATGAGCTGATAAGGGCCCAGAACATATTTATACCCAAGAACATAAACTGTATNTAAATATGTTTTGGGCCCGACTCGGACTCATTTTAGCCCAAGCTTTTAGGAAAGGGCTAAAATGAGCTGATAAGGGCCCAGAACATATTTATACCCAAGAACATAAACTGTATTACTATTATTATCGCTTTGGAGGGCATTGAGAAAATATAAACTGAGAAAATATAAACTGAGAAAAATGACACCAAAACAGTCTGAACAATCACGCGAGCGTTTACAAGTTGAATGGCCTTTATTTTCATGCAATGAAAATACACAATACGTCAAGCAAAGCTGGCTAGAAATTACAAAATCTGAAATTTGAGTTTTCAAAATTTATGAAAGACATGGAAGGAAAGTTTGATTAAGCTTGTTTGTAAGTGTTGAAATTAATTGTACAATTAAGGTTAGTTGTTTGAACTGAGTGTGTTTGGCTTGAAGCTACAAAACTTACATGCACTTTGCCACCGGCCATGGAGCTACTACAGGCGGTATTGACATCTGAAGCTTCTCTTGAAAGAAACGGACAACTAAGAATGTCCGAACAAGCATGCATCTGTGAACTATCCATTATGTAGAATGGCAAGCTTTGTTCATTGAAAATGGTGCCGTGATTTCTTTCACCTACGCTTCGCTGCAAGATTAGCAGCGCAAACATTGTAATGGCTTTTTGATTTTGATTGGCTGCTTACATCATACGATTGTTTGATTCTCAGTTTTCATTGGTTTATTTCAGCGGGTCAAAATACATTTTAGCCCACCAAATTCTCCATTTTAGCCTGCAAAATGCGCCACAATGCCCGACAAAGTGATAATAATAGACCATTTTACGATTGTCTGCTCAGTGACCTGGCCTTTGGATGGCAGTGAGGCTGGAGTTGACCTCGTTTTGATACAGATCATACTGCTTTTGTTGAGTAAAACAAGTTGTTCTGATGCTAACTAGGTGCATTTACATGACAAAAGCAGTGAGGTCTGTATCAAAACAAGCTCAACTCCAGCCTCGCTGCCATCCAAAGGCCAGGTCACTGAGCAGACAACTGTAAAATGGTCTATTTCAATCTATGATAAACATTTTATTTCTAGAAACGTCCATGCACAAATTCATACCAAAGTGACCCTTAGTGACCAACGAATTTTAACTTTTTGGAGGATTCGAAAATGAGACAAATTGGGAATTGCAGAGATTTCACATGTCATGCTGTGCAAGATGTTATCGTGTGAGACATGAAAAGGAAATGTTGTTTGTATTGCTTTTCATAAATTTGTAAGCAGAATAGGAGTGCAATTAACACTTTCGCATGCTGTATGGAACTCAAAATGAGTACTTGTTTATTTTCCTAGGAGTAACAGCCGACATGGATTATTCCACCAATTTGAGTGCTAACCAGGCCAGTTACACTTTCATTATCTCCCAACCAGGTCAACTCCATCAAAGCACCAAAGAAAGAAAATTAGAAAGCATTACTCGCCATCCATAAGGAAAGCATTATTTGTTGACCAGGCTGTTGATCATCAAAAGTCACCTATTACAACTCATTTATTGAAGTGTAATGGATGCTTTTCCTTGTGTTTTCATTTTACACACAATGTAGTTCTTTTATCATTCATAAAAACAGAGTTATCAAGAAAAATTGTGATTAAAAAAAAAACATTTAGATATATATACAGGGTAATTTAGGAATTTAATCTCAATTGTGCAAGCTCTAGGGCAGAGAAACCCTTTTAAAAAAAATATAATTATTTAAGACATAGAAAACATGTACCATGTTTCTATTGAGTTATAGAAACACGAGTGGAAGTTTGGGAGAACAAGAACTGCTTTGGGAACACAAGCTGTAGGCGAGTGTTTTCAAAGCTTTTTCGAGTTCTCCCAAACTTTCATGAATGTTTCTATAGCTCGATAGAAACAAGGAGAACATGTTTCTATTTATTTGAGAAAACACTGCAACAAAAAAAAAGGGAAACAACTTGTTTACTTTAATCATCAAATTGTAAATTCTCTTTGCTCACGCCATTGTTGCGTCAACAGCTCGTGCTAGTTCTGTGTTTCTATCAAGTTATAGAAAGACAATTTTTAACCAGTCAGTGTGCATATTTTCTTAGGGCTGTTTTCTAAATATTGTTTTTAACTAGTAAATGTTCCAGTACATTTGTTATTAAACGTTTTTCCTCATTATAAAGAAAGTATTGTTATAATTTGTCATATTATGAAAAACTGCTTTAGATTTAAATTAGCAAAAAGTTACAGGGATAGTAATACATAATTATTCTTTCTCGTTTTAAGAAACTTTTCTCGCATCATCCTGTGTGGGTCAAAGTTGGAGTTTAATTTCATAAACTGTGAACTGGCTCTCTACTGGAGTGAAGAGAACAGAGGAAGCCAACTCTTGCTGGCCTGAATATCTGCCTACCAATTTATTCCTTATACTCAACTGAGGAGCCTGTTCATTGTTTCTTAATAATTTATTAACTCCATGAAGTGCCATCTGTTTGCAAACTCTTTATCTTAGTCAATAATGGGGGTTGCTGGATATCAGTTAGAGAGGTCCAGAGTTTCGAAATTCACATAAACTTTAAGCAACTTTATTGAAGACAGTAACCCTCTCTGAAGTCTTGATTAGATATATATAAGAAATTATAAAAGCCAACAGTCTTATTTTTCTCGTGTCAACTTCCAAACCATCAAATGTTCGTCAGCTAAGTAACTAATAGTTAAACTAATAGTTTTCAGAAGGCAACATTCTCATAAAGAGAAGGAAGATTTTATGAGGTCACACCTCACTGCTAGCTAGTAAACACGGCAGCCATGTTGAAAGTCGGACCGGGTTTCTTCGCATCTGTCTCTGAATGTCTTGAGACCTTCAATTTTGTCATTTAAACTACTTTTTTGGAAACAGCTTTTTGGTTCATTTCATAAAGTTCCAAGTTCATCAAAAATACTCCGCTGCACGTTGTATTTTGTACTCTCTTCTCGGTGTTTGGAAATGTGCTCAAACACGGTCTTTCGTGTTCGATTTATTACCTACATACAGTCTCCAGTGTTCCCACGGCTATTTACACTAGACATTTGATTTACTATAGTGATTGAAAAACCACTCTTTGATTTTAAAATGTTCAGTCTGCACTTGCAATACCCTGTCACAGGCAGCAATTTATGGTGCCACACTACTCTGAACTGATCGCATGAACTGTAAGAAAGTAGGTAACTTGGCTACAATCTGCTCTGGTTCCCAGTTTTCTTCCTCAAGCATTCGGTCCCATTCTTTACAGTGAAGATGAATATCCGTCTGGACAGGCAAACAAGACAATACAAAAAGATTAACACCTATTTGACGGACGTGCCTCACAGACTAATTAACTGACTAATTGACTGGACTGACTGGCTGGCTGGCTGACTGACTGCCTGACTGACTGATTGGTTAGCTGGCTCACTGGCTGACTCCCTATCTGACAGACGGACGGACCGACTGGCTGACTCACTGACTGACCAATTGACCAACTGACTCTAGCCAAGTGACCAGACTGACTGAGTGAGCGAGCGGTGAGCTCCTTGTGTTTAGGTTTTGTTCAAATCAAGCGTACATACGCAGGCTACCTAGAGTTCTTAGAAATCTCGCAAACAAGCTCCACAAAATGCGGAAACGTTTTCTACATTTATAAGAAGATGCAAGTTGCAGAGTAAATTTTGGAAATTAAAACAATACCTCTGTATCTATTTCGTCAAAACCGCTCGCTTCAGTTTCGGCGGCATCCACGGTTTTCTCTTGATATTTGGAAATAAGCAAGGTAAACTTTTCGTCATCCATTTCATACTCGTAAATCCTTCTTCGACTTCGCCGCTGATAAAACAGGTCAAACCCGTCTGGTCGCTCGGAAACTGGTGGCAGCGTTAATTGACCTTCCTCGATCTTCATTCCCATGAGGTAACTTTCTAATATTCTGTCTTCCTCTTCGGCTTGAGGCGTCCTGGGAACAAGGCCAATCACTGGGCCTGAGTAAAGAAAAAGAGTTAAACTCCGACTCGTCTCCAGTTGCATCTTATTTGTCTATTTACGAGAGAAACGCGAGAGAGATGTGGACGAGTCAAACCAGCACGGCACGAAGAGAAGGCTTTAATATTAAAAAGAGATAGAGAAGACGGCTGGGAACGAGTCAGTAAAAGGGGAAACGTGCAGTTAAATGTTTGGCCTCATATACGAGTCGTCTGCCTCGTTTACCAAGAAATCACGACTTCAGTAGAGCCGCATCCGTGATTGAAAGTGTAGTGTTTACTTTTTCAGTCACAGTCTTAAACGTTACAGTGTTAAACCAGGATATTATGTCTGGAAATTTTATTACAGGAACTGTTGAACATGGGGTACTCAAGTATTGCTACTGGAAGTGGAATTATGTTTGTGATTTAAGTTTCGTCGGTGACAGCGCATTCCGTAACACAGAAACGACATAGACTAATTACAAAACAAATAACAAAATCTGTTAATTTCTTACATGTTTTTACGAACAGTCGGTAATCACATTCCTTGGAAGGCATTACGATGTCTGCCTTCAGTCTCTGCTGTGTCTGAGAACACATGTAAAAACATGGCGTGTGTGATGAATCACTCTGCTCATCAGGCAACGCGTGACTCGTGACATTCATAACACTGAAGGGTGCACTGCGAGAGAACGCCATTGAACTTGCTCCGTCGCCTTCCTGTTCGCCACCATCTTTCTCGGTAAGCCATACCTGTTAAAAGAGAGGAGAACTAAGTGCGCTAAGGTAACCTGCGATCAGGCGTTCTTATTTTCCACCGCCAAGAACAGTAAGACCACCTGAGCGCATGTCACTTCTTTTGTGGCATTCCGTACTGTACATTTATACAATGCTATAGAAAATACAGCCAATCAGAATACAGGAAAGCCGTTGTATATTCGACGGTATTGCATCCAACCTGTATTACATCATGCGCCACGCGTATGTCGCATTGATTGTGTTGGCCACTGTATTTTCTATGGCATGGTATAAAATAGCTATGTAACGCTCTCTCGTGCTATACCATGAAATATCCCACGAGACACCCGTATTTTCATGGTATACATACACGCCTAAAGGCTCGTTTAAACCAAGAAAATACAAGTTTCTCGTGGGGTATTCCACGGTATACCACGAGAGAGAGTTGCATAACTAGCATCTGATGCACCACAAAGTAGCACACAGAACGGTATTCAAAAACAAAAAATAACGTTGTTACCATGGTAATAACCTCAGATTCCAGGTTTCTTTCCTACACGAGTAAAGCGGGAGCTCCATATGTTTGTTCTTTACCAAACACTAAGCAGCTTTGTCACCCAACTTGTTCATCCTGCCAGTTAGTATTTAGATTATTGTAGAAAGTCAATTTCTGGGTGCCGATCTTAGTCCATATAGGCTGTCTTCACACTTGCTGTCTTAGTACTTTGAACCAGTATCCAGTAACACGTTGGCCTATAGCATTAATGTAGCCCCCCTCCCTCCATCCTGCTTGTTAAGGGTTGTCCAATACACCCGAAAGATTCCTTTCCCTGATGTTTTAACTTGGGTTTACAGTTGATCTGCACCTCTAAATTTAAAACCTCTATTTTAATTCGTTCTTGTTAATCTGCACCTCTTGTTCTTAGGGCTGGGGCATTATTTGTGTTGTTTACCTATTGTTCCGTTTGGTCAAATTTACTAAAAGAACCTTGTAAACGGTGCAGGTCCGGTCCCTGGGTCTCAACAGCTGGGTACAAATGTTTTTATGTAATAGCCCAATTCTCCCCAATGCATTCTGACAAATTATTTCTCCTCAGTTAACAAATACGATGAAATAAAAAAGCTTACCTTGACACGAACATATCGACAAGTAGGAGTGTAGAAGGTGAAGTCGTATCTTACTTCTTCTTTAGCTGCACGGGATTCCAGACTCTCTTCAATGTGTTCAACTTCTATTTTTTCTAATCCTCCTTTAAATTTTGACTTCCAACCGAACTTTTGGTTTTCAACTTTTTGTTTGATTTCCTCAAGAGTAAAATATTCCTCTTCCAGGTCAGCTGAAACAATAAAAAAGGAAATATTTCATCTGGACTGCCTCTTTAGTTATACGGAAGAAGCTCTCCCATAACGCCACGCGCACTCAGTACGACCGAGAAGGAGGCCTGGAGGAGAGGCAACCACGAGAACATTCAATGTGGTTCATAGCCAGCGTAAAAGCCAAAATTGAATTGTTTTCGT